TTCCAAATTTCAAGTCTCTAGCTTCAATAGCGCCGAAATAGATTGCGTTCATACGGACAGACGGACAGACAGCATGACGGACATTGCACAAATCCAATATACTCATTTCACTTTCGTGAATGAGTCTAAAAACCTTATTAAAATCAGTTATAAAATTATATCTCCTACATTATTGGAGCTAGAGTTAAAATTTACCCCCCACACCTATATTCACCCGCCCACCATCACCTTTGTAAAAGGCGTATTTCGAGTAATAAAGACTTGTGTTTTAGCAACTGCATGCATATCCATGTTATAATCATTATCTCAAAGTTTCATGAAGATTGTCTATCGACAAGAAAAGTTATTAAACAATTAGTAAACCAACACTTCAACCAATGCGTGTTTATGCGTGCATGTGTGCATGTACATCAGGGGATCTTATAGTCGAGTAGTATCGACTAGAGCTTTCTTACTCTTTATACCCTGAAAATGGGAAATCGGAGGATAATCGTTTTGTTAAAATGTAATTAGCAGGCAGAAGGAAGCGTGGCGGACCTACAAAGTATATACATATATTATTGATCAGGGCAACGAGCTGAGTCGTCTATGCGTCTATCTGTATGAAGAAAGAAAGTATAAGAGCTAGAACTTGAAATTTTTTTAAAAGTCCGTATATATACCGCGTATATCGCGTTTATCTCCAAAAATCGATAGCTTGTCTCGTTATTTTGTTATCGAAAATTAGTAATAAAATTATGTATAAATGTTACATCTTTGGAGCTATAGGGGCAAAATTTAAAATGTTAGTTCATATGTATTTTATAGAATTTCGGTTTTTGTTATAATCCGCCCCTTTACCAATAAAAGGCGTACTTCAAATACTAGAGACTACATTTCATGGAGATAGCCTATTGCCATGCGTGCGAGCCTATGTGTGTCTGGGAATGTGTGTGTAAGTTTCTTTTGTAAGCAGAAAAGAAGCGAAAAATTATTGAAATATTAGTAGTTAAATGAAAAACAACACCAAGAGCTAAAACAATTAAAAGACGTACTTTGGCACAAATCTAGCGTCTACATATAATTTTCGACTTATCAAATAAATAGTTGACTTTCTGACATATTTGACATTTTGTAAAATATATTGTCCTGAAGCACATATGTATAGAATTTCATAATTGGTTATCTAGTCATTCATACGAAAAGGGTCGAAATAGCACGTAAAAACTGGTTGTTGAACTCTTTTTCTGAAAATCTTTCAACAGATGATCTGAAATGTAAGCATAATTAAAAATATAGTCAGCGCTAATAAATAAAAAAGTACGCACCGTGCTGCATTTCTTATGTTCCTATTCGTTTCAGCAGGATTAAATATAATATTTAATATGCTAGTTGCATATTCAACCGCATCGGTTGCAAGAAATCCATTTTGCGAACCTTCAGATGTCTCAATAATATCAAATAATGGACCACCTGACTTATGAGCAATCATTATTATACCAGCTGCCATGCATTCAACGATTCCGATTCCGAAGTGCTCATTCCACATAGTATGTAAGCCAATTATAGCTCGTTTATATATATTTAAGAGGTCATCATAAGAAACATTTACTTTAAACTCGACCGAATTTTCAAGAGATAAATGCTTTGCGAGGTCTTCCATGTTATGAAGCCTTTCGTAATCTTCTTCATGCCGGCAAGATCCTACTATAACCAGTTTAATACGATTCCAGAGCGCTTCATCTTTAACCAGCAAAGTCCTTAGCTCGTACAAAACTTGTAATTGTAATGGGTGATTTTTCTCGGGTCGAAACTGCCCCACAGACACTATTATGATTTCGTCATTGTTTTCGATATGTTCTATTTTTTTCAGGTGCTCAATCTCACATGGCGGATATACTCGATGCGTTTTTAATGGAACGTTCAGCAGTTCAACAAGATGGTTTTCAGTCCACGTGGAATTCACCATAATAGTTTCGGAGCAGCAGCTTACCCACTTATATGTCTATAAATAAATAAATATTGTTATATTCATTCGTTACATTTAAATTCACACGTCATCATAAATTACTTACCCTAGAAAGCAAGCGATAATAGGTGAGCTTTATCCAGGTAAGAAAAGGATTCCGAGCAACATACGCTTTATTGTTGAAAGATGATTGCCGATATTGCACTTTCCTTAGCATATCGGTACTTATTAAAGGGTAGTGAACATAACATCCAATTCTACTACCAGCCAAGTAGCGAAAGATAGGAAACGTGTAAGCATATCCCATGGTGTCAATAAAGATATCTGGTGGAAATTTGCATATTGCTTCCAAACCTAATACAATGGAGCCCAAACTTTGCCCCAACAATGTAAAGTGAGGATACTTTCTCGCCTCAACCCATTGTCGCTGCTTAAGGTATACAAATGTAATTTGTTCAGCTTCCAACGCTATGTTAAATACGTTTTTCGCCTTCTGCAGAATCGAACTGGGCGTCGCATCAATATCTCCTGTGTAAATGACTATCTTTATTTTTTCATACTTGTTCTAAAGCGAAACGAAATTATTTTTATATAAACATATAATGTTCCTAAATATGTATATACCTGCAACGCTCTCACAGCACACCACAAGACACGCTCGCCGCCACCGCCAGCGTTGCAATATGGGTGAAACAGACCGACATTCCATTTATTATCTGACTGGGACTGTAGCTTTTTCTTCTTATTTCGAATCCATTGACGTAGACAAAACAGAAATGTAGACGCGATACCCAGCAACAATAGAAAGCACCAGCATCTGTTGCAGAAAATTATTTAATGAAAACCCATTTTTTTCATATTATTTATAAAATCATACAACATTATTATCACCATGTTATAGTTTTAATATTTATTACAATATATATTTTAAAGTTTCTCGAAGTAGTAGTAGAAATTTTACATTCCTAAAATTATAAAGAATTTGTCGCACTCATAGTGTTCTTATTTTGATTGTGTTGGTTTATGTTCTTTAAAGTAGTGATGTAAGAAATCATCGATGTTTTATTACCAATTTTTACCGATGTTTTCGCTGATACCGATGTTGAACGATGCATCGTTGTTTTGCAAACAAACCCCATTTGAAAGCAACCCTTTTTCTTTTTTGGGAAGGTATGAAAAGTACCTATCTTAATTTATTTGAAATTGCAATCAAATTTTTTCCGTTGATGGTATCTTCTATCCCCTCTAAAATAATATGTAATTCCGTTTCATTTTAGTGAAATGTATAAGATATCTCTCCTATGTTAAAAATTTAAAAATTGGGCCTTAAGCAAATTCTACTATGAAAGGTAATTTTTATTTATTTATTTTTATTTATATGTTTGTTAAATAATGTTGAATACTTTTAATTTTTTTTTTTTTTTATTTATTTATTTTCAATAATAATAACGCCATGAGAGCACCAGCAAAACAGTAAAAAAAAAAAATAAAAATAAATAAGAATTACAAATAATAATCCAACATTGATGCTTGATTTTGAAAATATTGATGGACATCGACATCGATGTTTTCATTCAAATTTACATCACTACTTTAAGGTTACAAAAAACATCGATTTCTTTTAAATAATCGCTTATTTGATCTGAAATATTCGATACGTTCCGATGCTTTAATAATAAATACGATACGTTAGTTTTTGCCATACTATTAGCACTGACCAGAGAACACATAGACTAGACATGTAGTACAAAGTTTTTCAACACCGAAAAATCTGCCTCCTAGGGCCTATCAATTTCATATTTGCTCGGCTCTTCACTGTTTAGTGTACTACATGTCTAGTCTATGTGTTCTCTGGTCAGTGCTAATAGTATGGCAAAAACTAACGTATCGTATTTATTATTAAAGCATCGGAACGTANTTTATTTATTTATTTTCAATAATAATAACGCCATGAGAGCACCAGCAAAACAGTAAAAAAAAAAAATAAAAATAAATAAGAATTACAAATAATAATCCAACATTGATGCTTGATTTTGAAAATATTGATGGACATCGACATCGATGTTTTCATTCAAATTTACATCACTACTTTAAGGTTACAAAAAACATCGATTTCTTTTAAATAATCGCTTATTTGATCTGAAATATTCGATACGTTCCGATGCTTTAATAATAAATACGATACGTTAGTTTTTGCCATACTATTAGCACTGACCAGAGAACACATAGACTAGACATGTAGTACAAAGTTTTTCAACACCGAAAAATCTGCCTCCTAGGGCCTATCAATTTCRTATTTGCTCGGCTCTTCACTGTTTAGTGTACTACATGTCTAGTCTATGTGTTCTCTGGTCAGTGCTATTAGGCACTCTCCCTCACATACATCGATGTTAGCTGTAATTTGAAAAAATTTAAACACATTGCAGAGCACCGCTGCCGACTGCAGCCTGTAGAATAATCTGTCCTCATTTTGAGCCTTCAAGCTTTAAGATTTTCGATGTCTCCGTGTGTAGTATTATTCTTATATTGTTATTAGTAGTATTATTACTTTTGTTTGCCATTAATTTGGTATATATCGATATTTGACATTAATATATATCGCACAGGAGCTATCAAGTCATGATATCTTCAAGAATTGACTCAAATAAATTTACAAAAAAAATGTAAAACATATTTCTACTACGTAATTTATCGTAATTAATCAAAGCTAATCATAGCTTGAAGAGCTAGAACTTTTGCATATTTATCGTAAGATAAAGTTAAAAATGATGTTTTACAACACTCTCATTTTGTTTTAGATTTCGGGAATGCCGTTGTTGTAGATGCTTTTTCCATCACTAAATATGATTAACAATAACAGCGTAGATATGGACTACATTCGTTCTATATGGGAATGCTTAGCATCCATTTGTAATTGTTGGCATTGTACAGATGACCTAGGCAGTCAAGTAAGGTCATGAATATGTGTTCTATGATTATTATAATTAAAATCATTTTGAATAGGGCATTGAACCCAACGAAAGGACGCATCTTCTTGCGGATTCTGTTAATCAAAGTCCAGCTTTGCGGCGAAGTAACTCAGCTGATTTAAGCAATGATTATTCTCAATCACTACCAAAGAAGGATGACCAAAATGCGTTATCAAGATTGGTGCAGAATACTGCAATGTACGTACAAAGAAATCATATATATTTTATTATTACTTTTATTTTTGTTGTACTTTAGCAACATGATCAATGTGGGAGCCCTGGATTCTCACACCTTGGAACATCAAGAGTATACAGATAGGATTAAATTATATTCACAGCGTCTTCAACAGCAATGGAACAACATTCAACACCCAGGCTTTGTACAAAAAGGTTTGATATCGCAATAATTTATATGTAGATGATAGGAAATTAAAAGATGATACAAATTTTATATACAATGTCAAGTTATTAAATTTAAATAATTGGATCAGAGTTATCAGCTCATATTATATAAGCTTTATATTATATTAACTGTTTAAAATAATGTTATCTTAGAAGTCCACACAGATGATGCTCGAAACAACATATTGCTGCTAAGCATTGTAATTCTATTCTTAGTAACAATTCACAATTTCGAAACGCTTAGAAAATATACATATTTTAATTTGTCTTCAAACTCTGTTGCATGTGTCAAGAACAGGGATATAATTAATCCATCAAATATTTTTTCTCTTTTTTTTTTTTAGGCCTATTAAAGGACGTACCCAACCATCAATCTTATTTATCAAAAGGTATTCATTTAGATGATACTGCTCAGGTTAGTGAATTTTTTTTTTTTCTATTCTCTCAATACGGTAGTGTTCCACGAGGTGGCATCCTGATCCCTACGTAGAGCTGCTTTTCTTATTATTCACATACCCACGCACGCTCGCTACTTACTCCTTAGTCCACGCACGATATGCCACTTCTTTCGATTGTGATTAGCAGGAAAGTGTCCTCAACAAACTCAAACACTCTGACACACCATATCTATACAATCCAATTGTGGTCTATCAAACATACACTTTTCTATACATATTAAAGGACACTTCTCCACAAGTATACAAATCAGATAAGGTATTCCCTGGGGGTTCCACAACACTATTTAAAATATTCACTAACAAAAAATCAAGCCTTACATGAGCCACTATTTTACTTAATGGATAAGAAGAACTCTGACTTCACAAAAGTTCCTAGGATTCTAGGTCCCGAACTCACCCGGCAAAAACACATCTCCTGCATCTCTCATAGGTACTATAAACACAATATGCGGTAACAAGATACAGGTGCTTTGTTTGGTGAACTGCTTCTCCATGTCTCATAAAAAGTCTCCAACAACCGTACCCTCTCGCAAAGGCTTTAATAATTACTAGTCAACCTTTGAAGTCACACTCTACTTTTTTATTTCACTTCACTCAATAAATTTACGCCACGTGTTTAGAGTTCATTACAAATCAACAGTAAACAAAACAAGTAAGAAGGCTCTACTCGAGACTGCTCGACTACGAGATCCCCTGAACCCTTCAAGCAAAAGCTATTTCAATAATTTTCGCGTCTTTTTGCACAAACACGCATACATACACGCACGCAAGCACCCACGCCTAAACAAGCATGGGCTGCAGTTTGCGCTTACTATGAGAACTTAATTGTTTAATAACTTTTTTTTGTGGACATACGATCTTCATGAGACTTTCAGATTCTGATCATAACATGGATATACTTGTATTTGCCAAAACAAAGTCTCTAGTATTTGAAATATGCCTTCTACAAATATCTGGGTGAGGGGGTGGATATAGAAATGGGG